GTGTTGCTTATGAAATCCATGAAGTGCTACAGAGAAAATTACATTTTATTTATGTAATTAACACATTTTGAACTCTTATAGAAATATAACAAAAGGAAAGACACCCAGCTGAACTAAAATGATCCATGTAGCAAAGAAAAACTGTTGTGAGCCGCCACCCTTATATCGCCTTGGGGCTTTTGGAGCCTTGACCTGACTTTTAAAAAATACTTGGAAAAAAAGTACTATGCTGCTAAAAAAAAGAAAAATACAGTGGGGCAAAAAAGTATTTAGTCAGCCACCGATTGTGCAAGTTCCCCCACTTAAAATGATGACAGAGGTCAGTAATTTGCACCAGAGGTACACTTCAACTGTGAGAGACAGAATGTGAAAAAAAAAATCCATGAATCCACATGGTAGGATTTGTAAAGAATTTATTCGTAAATCAGGGTGGAAAATAAGTATTTGGTCAATAACAAAAATACAACTCAATACTTTGTAACATAACCTTTGTTGGCAATAACAGAGGTCAAACGTTTACTATAGGTCTTTACCAGGTTTGCACACACAGTAGCTGGTATTTTGGCCCATTCCTCCATGCAGATCTTCTCGAGAGCAGTGATGTTTTGGGGCTGTCGCCGAGCAACACGGACTTTCAACTCCTGCCACAGATTTTCTATGGGGTTGAGGTCTGGAGACTGGCTAGGCCACTCCAGGACTTTCAAATGCTTCTTACGGAGCCACTCCTTTGTTGCCCGGGCGGTGTGTTTTGGATCATTGTCATGTTGGAAGACCCAGCCTCGTTTCATCTTCAAAGTTCTCACTGATGGAAGGAGGTTTTGGCTCAAAATCTCACGATACATGGCCCCATTCATTCTGTCCTTAACACGGATCAGTCGTCCTGTCCCCTTGGCAGAAAAACAGCCCCATAGCATGATGTTTCCACCCCCATGCTTCACAGTAGGTATGGTGTTCTTGGGATGCAACTCAGTATTCTTCTTCCTCCAAACACGACGAGTTGAGTTTATACCAAAAAGTTCTACTTTGGTTTCATCTGACCACATGACATTCTCCCAATCCTCTGCTGTATCATCCATGTGCTCTCTGGCAAACTTCAGACGGGCCTGGACATGCACTGGCTTCAGCAGCGGAACACGTCTGGCACTGCGGGATTTGATTCCCTGCCATTGTAGTGTGTTACTGATGGTGACCTTTGTTACTTTGGTCCCAGCTCTCTGCAGGTCATTCACCAGGTCCCCCCGTGTGGTTCTGGGATCTTTGCTCACCGTTCTCATGATCATTTTGACCCCACGGGATGAGATCTTGCGTGGAGCCCCAGATCGAGGGAGATTATCAGTGGTCTTGTATGTCTTCCATTTTCTGATGATTGCTCCCACAGTTGATTTTTTCACACCAAGCTGCTTGCCTATTGTAGATTCACTCTTCCCAGTCTGGTGCAGGTCTACAATACTTTTCCTGGTGTCCTTCGAAAGCTCTTTGGTCTTGGCCATGGCGGAGTTTGGAGTCTGACTGTTTGAGGCTGTGGACAGGTGTCTTTTATACAGATGATGAGTTCAAACAGGTGCCATTCATACAGGTAACGAGTGGGGGACAGAAAAGCTTCTTACAGAAGACGTTACAGGTCTGTGAGAGCCAGAGATTTTCCATGTTTGAGGTGATCAAGGCTGTGAGCTGCAAAGCTACAGCCGGCTATATGCGTACAGCAACCGTGTGTGAAAAGGGGTCAATAAAGAGATGCTGAAAAGCATATTCATGGAAATCATCGGGTCTGCCGTGACATGTTTACAATGGGAATGAACCTCTGCGCACAGCGTCTGCAAATCAGGGCTGTACGAAGTCACTTTCATCTTTACACAGGACTGTAAGCTATCATCTGTGAGGCGTGAGCGGTGTTTGTTTGTAACATAGTTCACAGTGGAGAATAGTTGCTGACATAATGTGGATCCGAAGATCCATAATAGTAATGGTTGAAAGTCTCGATAAATGCACGGCGTTTCGGCGGGTACACTGGCTTCCGCGAGTGTGACGCTTATTTTGAGAGATGAAAAACTAATAGAATATAATTTTATTTTTTTATTTCAATATCACAATAATCTTCCAATTTAGAACTACAAGTTAAAAAAGAACTAACATAAATAAAATACACTTCAGCTAAATACTTCTAATTTATTTTCCCAAACCATGCGGAGCCGCAGTATAAGGACTAAAGAGCCGCAGGTTGCCGACCCCTGACTTACACCAAAGCAGATGAAATAGGTCCCTGCAGTTTAACTGCCTTTGTGTTATCCTGTGATAAACTGTTCCCTTAATTTTTTTGGCACGTGTTCATGGACACAGTGCTTCATAGGGTGCCACTGTTACATTATTTTAAAAGCTAAATATTGATACATTGTGTCAGTGTATCAACACAAAATCGGCATGCAAAATGCCAGCGGATCAAGGCGTGTGCATTTATTCCACATGGTTGGCAAACAGAGGAGTGGGTAACAGAGTAAAAGGTCACTGATCATCACTCTCAACTACTAATGTAACACAGTGCTGATAAGTGGGGTTTTGCTTAATTAAGTTATTTATTTATTTATTTAGAAAATGCGGTATGGTAATTTTCTGAAATTCTCGGCATGACATCACTAGAAGATGTTGTCAGTATGCTGGGGTCTGACATGCACTGCATTAAAAAGTTTCGCTCTAATAGATGTTCTAGCACGAAACAGCAGGATGAGGCCAGAGGTTGCACGAATGCAATGTTTTTGACAACTTCTCCCTCCTTTCAATTTATATGGTAAGAGGTCATTCAGGTTTTCTGGGAACAGTTCTGGCAAACATTATACAAGTTACATTATTTGTGTGCCTGTTATCAGATTTCATGGATTTTATTGTCTGCAGTTTGTTTCTTTTTGTCTCTGCTTAGTCCTAGAAATTATTTAAAAAAATTTTTGGCTTAGTTTTTAATGACAAAAGGTCAAAACAAGTGTCAGTAAAATTATTTAGACAAAGATTCATCCTAATGTGCTTGTTGCTTCAAACTCAGAGCCCCCGTTTCTCCTGTCATTTCAAATACACGACAAACTGCAAACAACTGTGTTTAATTAATCTTTCTGTTTTGTGTTGTCATCCATTTATCCACGTGTAGTCTTTATTCAATTTCTTGACTTTTCTTGTGTTTATGCTGCCCTTTGCCGCAATTGTTAGCTGTGATTATACCCATATTAAACCATCCCTTCCTAATGCCCTTTCATTGTGAGGTAATGGGGGAGGGCAGAATATTCCTGTTCTGTGTGCTGTAAAAAAAGCATTTCAAAGTTTATCTGAATCTAATTTTAAGCTTCAACAGCACATGTTTTATAAGGCTTGGCAACCTTTCCTGCAATATTCTCCACGGACAAATCCACAGCCCCATGTGTGTATGATTTAACTCCCCCAGAGATAATGTGTGCAACAGATTGGGTTATTGTCGGCATGTGGGTTTATTTTAGTTTTTTTTCTTTGTTTGTAGTTTGGAAACTCTATAAGAATATTTGAATAATAACAGTTATGATGCATTTCAGGGTTTTGTCTTCTTCACAGTGTATTCATGCCGATTCATCTGTGGCTTGCGGGATTCACCATCAGACAAACCAGACTGGCACCAGACCAAGGGTGAAATCTGGTATTGAGCTCTGGGTTCGCCTTATCTGCTCGCTGTTTACTAACAGTCACAGAGTCCATCTCTTGCAGCAGCTCTGTTATCTCAGCGACCCAGGCAACACGAGCAGAATGCTAGAGCAGCTGCTCTAGTCTCAGGCCAAAGTGTGTGCATGTGTGTCTCTCTGTGGATGTGATTTAAACCTTTTCTCATTCATCAACTTATAAACAATGGAGCATCATGTACAGATGAAAACAAACCCACCCATGCAAGTACTGCAGTGAATGCTTTGTGATTGGTTCAGGTACAAAGGAAGCTAGGCTGATAAACATTTTGATCTTGTATCCCAGCTGTGGCCACAACAGAGAGCAAAAACCCAAGTCCCAATTTTAAAAGTTTATCTAAATTTGTGTTTTTTCAAATTAAAAGCCACGTTTTCAAAAACTAATTTGTCAGAGAACACGACAGAATGAGCACTTAAACTGTAAGTGGACAGTTAAACCCCAAATCAGTTTGACATATTTTACCCCCTGGCCTTTAACAATATTTATCCATTTAGATTATTTTGGTGTCAGTTGCCCAGCTTTGAGAATATCTGCTGTGGAAATGTCTGCCTTCACTTGATACTATTGAACTAAATGGGATTCAAAGTTGTGGTGCCAAAAATACATGAAAAAAACCCACAACACAAACCCTCAGCAGCAGGGCTTATTTTCAGAAATCATGACTCGGTTACAAAAAAATAAAATACACAAACTTTGCTGTGAGGAGCTTCATGTCGGAACCGTTTTCTCTTTTATTGAACAATACGCCAAACATCACTGTGCAGAAGAAAGAGCCCATATCCTCACGTTGAAAGGCACTTCCTAGTTTAAGCGTGACAGGATGTAAACATTAACCCTCACTCCTCGCCCCCTCAGCCGAGCGCTGATGTAAGCTAGCCCCAAACTTCTTTAGGTTGGTGTATGTAGACAACAGAAAGAAAATAGTTCCTACATGAAACTGCTCACGAGTTTTCTTTTTTTTTGCTTTTTGAGTAACTAGGTCATGAGTTCTGGAAAAAAAAAGACATTGCTGCTGAGATGTTTAAAAGTATTTTTATTGGCACTTGGTGAAATACAAGGCAAGTACTATCTCTTTCCATTACACTCAAGAGAAGGCAGACATTCCTACAGTGAATAACTGTAGAATAACTGGGCTTCTCAAGCAAAACAGTCTAGATGGATAAATGCAGGTGCAGGGGGAAAAACATGTCATATGGATTTTGGCGGGACAAATCAGCTTAAAGCTACAATCTAAATGCAAGTGTAACATTGTAATACAACTGAGGATTAAAAAAACCCAATTAAAATAAAAAAGGTGGAAAAAATCTTACCCTGTGGAGGGGGTCATGATGCAGCCTCCGCGATCAACGGTCATCCTGCAGCCGCAGCCGCGCTCTGGGGTGTCATGGTTCATGCCAAAATTGTGACCCAGCTCATGTGCTAAAGTCACGGCTGCACCCAGCGGGTTGTCGGAGTGATCCTATAATGGACAAAAAAGTGAATCCAACATGGTAAATGTGTACAATTTTGTGCGTTTGACTATGCCTGAAGTTATTTAGGGAAACTATAAGCGAAGAAAAACAACAAAAAAGTGAACTGAAGTGAATTATCCCTCACAAAAAAAAAGCAAAGAAAAGAGGAGAGTTGTCAAAGAAGACCGTTTTTAAGCTGCAGTTTCAAAAAACAGTAACTGTCCACCTTGCTCCTTTTGTCCTTCTCCTATTACTCATTCTCCTCATGGAGGCCTGAATTCATCTGCCATTCCACTACCCCTGCAGACCCAATCATGCCTGCTGCCAGTGGAGACAGCTTCTGCAGGAAGTCCCTATAAACCTATCTCTGTGTGACTTGGTGCTGCATTGATAAGCGAGACAAGGGAGACAGAGATGGAGAATGACACGCGCGAAAGAGGAGGAAGTTTCACTTTCTGCTAGTTTTATAGACAGACTTGGTGGGAAGAGCCAGACAGAGATGGGGGGCATTTGGAGGGTAACCGAGATATTAAGTCAGTGTAGTGTATAAAGCATGTGTGCCAAGGTGAACGGGAATGGTAGTAAACAATGACAAATGACTACAATCAAAATGTGTTATTACTTTGCCAAAATTCTGCTGTTAGATAAAATACATCATTTTCCGCAAACTGTAACAAAAAAAAGAAAAGAAAATCACTAACAGGTTTTGACAATCTCCTTTCATTCAGCGCAAAACAGACACATTTTCATGCACGGACTAATGGGCAGCATACATTTCTCACAATGTTATCTGAAAAATGAAACTGATATTACCATTATTTTTCTTTCTGTTAGAAAAAGAAAAAAACACTGATATCAATCTCATGAATGTATAGTACACATGATATAAGCAACAGTAACTCATAAGCTTTATTTTGCATAAAGAAGGAAAACAAAGGGAAAACAGTTCGCCTGACTCTGCCCAAAGGTAGAAAAAAATAAGAGAAAAATCACCGACTGTATCATGCATTTTTTTCCAGCTGTGACTCTGAATACAGATTCCTCACTGCATGCCTATGTATGAGTGCCACTAATGCCAAGCAATACATTAACCTCTCTGCAGGTTTACACAGAGATAAGTAATGTAGGTGACTGCTGGCTGCCGATGAGCCTACGCACAAACCTCCAGTATCTCAATATGCTGTGCAGACCAGAGCATTGAGCAGGCAAATTGGTTAATCCAACTTCTGCCATGAGGAGTGCTTGAAATGGGAAAGAAATGTTAGGATAAATGTTTAAACTAAAAGAAAATACAGAAATATCTGTGACAGCAGATAAAACACCCCTGATGAATTTTGTAATATTCCTTGAAATGTCTGTGTGTTAATGTGCAAGATTCAGAATTTGTAATTAAGCAAACCTCAGGGAAAAAGAAGGAAGGAAAGAAAGGCTGCCAATTTACTACTGTGCATCTTACCATAGTTCTCTGCCATGCAGCTTATATGAGAAAAATGTCATGCTTCCCTCGAGGACAAGGTCATATGTCAATGTTAAGGACAAGATGAACCACTTCCTGCTGTGATTAAAGATCAGCATCATGGGGAGCTGCACCCTGCTTTTTCACAGCAAGGATGGGAAAACTTTCCTTTGCTACTGTCATGTTTACCAGTGGGTTAGTGCATCTACACTGTGTCTGTGTGTGTGTGTGTGTGTGTGTACGTGTAATTCATAGCTGAGTGCTCCCTCACAAAAAAAGTGTAATATGAGAGTCAACAGCCACAGCCATTACTTTGAAGCTGCTACGAGCTGCTGTTGTAATGGTGAGAATTTGTGGAGATGGTTGCAACCAAGAAATGCTATGATGGGTGTGAAAATAACTCTCAGACGACAATACTGTACCACATAAAAATCATTTACAAAAAGACTTAGGAAGAAAAAAAACATAGCATTGTGCTAAAACAAAAAAGTGAGGCTGCACTGAGGAAGATTAATACATTGTAGCGTACGGTTTGAGAAACAGTTCATCTCCTCTTACTGTCCCCTAACTGCTTACGTGGCCCTTTAATCTTGGTCCAGACCATCTGCTGTATGTAAGTGATGGGGAAACCAAACATCTGGAGAATCCTCAGTACGGCCACGGCCAGAGGAAAACATCTCCATTAATGGGGGACACATCTGGGATGAGGCATAATGGCACTGGGATGATAACCGCTTTGTGATTTGGCGCGGATATCAAGTGCTGTAAAAGGCAGAGGAGCCTAACAGGCGGCTAATTTACTACGTGTCGAAATTCAGTGCACCAGGGGTGCGACACAGTCGTGGGTAAAAATGGATTTTTGATTCAAATGCATGCTGTGCAAGAGCTGACATTCACTCACAGATAGATCAATTCATCACATAAAAATGTAAATGTGGTTCTGTTCGAAAGTCGAGGTCCTTTGATTTAATCCTGTGTCCCACCAATTCTACTAGCAACTCTTCATTGGCACCCTGTTAGCTCTGGAAATGAATTTAAAATCCTTCTCCCCACATACAAGGCCTTGAATAATCAATCAACAATCTTAAATACCTCTTAGTACCATATTACCCCAATAGAGCACCTTGCTGTCAGACTGCAGGCTTTCTTGTGGTTCCTGGAGGTTTTAAACGTAGCTATCAGGCCCCTCTCCTCTGGAAACAGCTCCCAGTTTGGATTCAGGAGACAGCATAAAGCATATAGTTAGGGCTGCTATAGACTTAGGCCTCCTATGATACACTGAGCATTGACTTGACTCCACTTGACTCTTTTCATTCCCCAGGTGAGAATGCCATTAAGTTTTTTCTTTTCTCTCACATAGTTTGCATTTTGTCCCGTTTCTTTATGCTATCCTTTGTTTTTTCTCTATCCCATCACAAACAGTCACAGCAGATGGCTGCCCCTCGCCGAGTCTGCTTCTGATGGATGGTGTCTTCCTGTTAAGGGGGAGTTTTTCCTTCCCACCATCGCCTAATGGTTGCTTATAGCGGATCACCTGATTGTTAGTGTTTCTCTTTAACAGAATGATTCACAGCACCTTGTGGCAAATGCTGTTGTGATTTGATGCTATATAGATAGAAAGTGAACTTTCAGCCTGCACTGGACTCATTCAGGAGTGACCCCTGCTTGTCATTGCAAACAGAAGCTCCACACACATCACTGATAAACTGGAGAGTCACACTGAAAACGTCTAGTAATTACCACATAAAAGAGCAGCATCAGTTTAACCTTCCGCCCACCTTTACTCATGTTCCCTCATTGATAACGGTCCTCTCTTTCATTCCAGTAGCTGAAATGACATTTAGCCACTGGTATCACTGAATTTCTTTCCATTTGTGATCGAAACACCAGGTCACCAAAGCTTTCAGTACCTGTCCAGCTTTAGAAGAATTTTACGACGGATTGTTGTTTGATGAATGCTGACCTTGACAGAAAGCCAGTTTAACACGTGGGTCTGAAAGAGGCATTTGAGTTGCAGCGCAAAAGATTGATTGCACGACTGTTAGACTTCAAATAGCAACAGTGTGCGTGCCTGCAGAGCCATCCTTCTAAGAGTACACATTTTACATATTGTTATGTGCAAGCTGATGTTTGTGGTAATGTTAATGTAAGGGAGGGCCAACACAAATGTCATTATGTTTTAAAGCAAGACTTCCTGGCAGGCTTGTCTGCAAGTGCCCTTCCAGCAAACAATGAACACCTTTTCTGTGTAAATCGGGGCTGGATTGTGTTAGCCTAGTGAATCTGAACAATGTCAACACTGATACAATCAGGCTACGCAGAGGAAAGGGAGGGTGGAGGCATGCTGGGAGTAGTAGGAAGATTTTACACTCACCATGACAATACCTCCAGACTGCTCAGCAGTGCACATACTCATAATGGGTGCCATGCCAATGGTGGTGCCCTGGAAGTAAACCCCACTGCCAAGGAGAGAAGTAGGAGACGGAACTTTTAGAGGAGAAAACTGCTGTTACATGTTTATAGTAATGGTATAAGTGAAAAACTTCAATTTTACCATTAGTTTTCCAAATATCAGGCCAGATATGATTGTTTAATCATATCACACCTGTCAGGAGAATATGTCATTGTTTCAGTCTTTCTTTTTGTTAGCAGCACTGTTAAATTCTACTAACAAATTCAATGCATTACATTTTCAATCCAGGAATTTATGCCCTAACATAACCAGGTAGGCTATCATATCTTCTTAACCACCAAATGGAAATAGTAAAAACAGGGAAATATAAGCTTGATGTGAAAATGAAAGGATTCAGATGAAAATCTCAATCCTGATTTCTGTTTGGGTCCATTCCCTGGTGGATGTATGTGGTCTCACCCCTACATCATGCAGTCTAGGTGCAAATATTGGACTGATTACATTTAATAATTTAGATGTCCACCTTATAAGTTGAGCATTGTCGTGAGGTTTCTGGGGAAGCAGTTTGACTTTCCTCCAGTCTAAGAACTCGTGCAGGGTGGTGAAGGGATCTTGGGTGATGGGACATTTATCAGAGTCGCTCCACACCTCCAGACCCACAAGGGCCACCCGGATGTTCAGGGCCCTGTAGAACTGCACAGAAGATTTTAATAAGAATGGAAAAGCATGGAGAAAACACAAATGTCCATAAGACTGTTACATAAGTGAGACTGTTTACTGGGGTTTTACCTTTGTTCACTCAATTAATTGATGTATGATTCTTTTCATCCTAGCAAGCCTAATCAATCACACGTTGCCTTATTTTTCTGACAGTATAAGATCATGTCTTTGCCATTTCCTTAAAGTAAATCTATCTGCCTACGCAAGCGTGTAAGCTATAGAGACACAGCTCAGGCAGTGGTGTTAGGCAGACTAAAGTCAGCTGCTTTAGTAGGTAATTAATATATCACGCAGACGTGCCATTAATCTCTGCTGCCAAAAATATTTCTATTTTAAAAAGGTGATTTATCCCTCCTGTGCAAAGGGGTGGAGGATGTTTTACCTTGTCCACATAATTGGCTATCTCTACCAGTCTCTGCTTCACCTTCTCCAAGTCCTTTCCTTGTTTCTGAAACTGAAAACAAAAATGCATGTAATCAGTGGAAGAAATTACACTCGCAAATTGTGAGTGTTTCATGAGGACATAAGAGACCGTCATTTCCAGAACATAGAAAAAAATCCTCAAACCACAACAAAGGACACAGAAAAGCAGTGATTTGTATGAATGAGTTGAAATATTCACTGGCACTACATTTTTCTGCGTGTTGGGCAGGTTGTCAAGCTGTGACCATCTGGATCTAGAAAAATCTCCTAGTGTTAGAGAGGCGAATGGCATGGCCACAGGGAGCAGGTATGCTGGCAGATACGACAGCTTGCAAAGCTTTGGATCCAAATTGCAGCTCAAGTCAGACCTTCCAGTTTTACCCTTCTGTGCATCCAACTGCACCGATGCTGGACTGTATATCTAAGCCTAACAACATACTTGATCCCTTATCCTTCCTTTCATTTCCTTTCCTCCCATTCAGGTCAGTGGCATTAGCAGAGGGCTGTCAGGAGGAAGCCCCACAAATAGCTCTTCAGTGCTTATGGGAGACTATTCACTATCCGCATGGTTTTTCCCCGTTTCCTGTCTGCTCTGCTGGGAAATTGAAAAAAGAACTTCCTGTCAGAAAAGAGACCACACTGCTTGTTGCACACTCATCCCTCTCTGCAGCTCCAGTGGGATCTATTCCATAGTTACTACAGCTCATGCTTATACCACAAAAGGATTGTGGGCTTTCAGTGTGTCGTCTCTGCTGGTCAAAAACTGCATTTGCGAAGAGAGGCAAGTAGGTGCATTACCTCTCTGTTGTCTGCAACAATGATCAGCTCGACATATTTGGTTGTCTTCTGAGCATGCCTTTTATGCTGTGATAAAAACAAAGATGGGAAAAGTTCGACAGTTATTAGGAAATGCGTAGAAGATCAAGACACCATTTCTGTCATTTCTTACCGCTTCTACTTAAAAGACTTAAGATGAACCTTTAAAAACTGCAACAGCTAAAAAAAGGTATTTTATTTACATTCTTGCCAAGAGATAGATGAGAAGATAACACTTAAACGTCTGTTCACTAAATATAAAGATATAACCTGGTATCTATTCTGGTATCTGGTTTTAGCCTGCAGGCTAAAACACTGCAAATCAGGCTTTGTCCCAGCTGATATTCAGAAATATTTCCTTTAAAAAAACAAACAAAGATGAGATAATCTATCTAATTAAGTACTGTATATAGGCAAGTTTCACTCCCTAAGTCAGACAGAGTTCTTAATGCTTGGAAATAGGGGCAGATGGATGCTGCACCTGCTTAATGCAAAGCACTGGCCAAACCTTCTGCATGAGCCCTTGACTCTGTGCTCCCAACGCTGATAAAATGAGTGTCAAACCCAAGGCAACACCCTGAGGGAACTCATCCAGACAAGAATGCTTGCCAATATACTCATCTTGGTCAAACGCCCATTTATCTTTGATCAGTTCAATGATAGGCCTAACCTTCAGACTCGCTTAATGGTGAAAAACTGCAAACCAATAATGTAGCCCTTAGTCGCTTTATCCAGTGACACTGTGATAAAAAAGAAAAACCCAGTAATAATCTCACCCTTGTGTGGAAGGACTTGAAGGGGCTTTCAATGTGGTTTTCAACTGAGGACGTGTTGAAGCTGTGGCCGCATGTTCCGGGGGTCAGTCTGAGCTCTTCCACTCGGTAAATGAAGTGAACTCCGGTGTCATCACCAGACACAGGCTCGATGATAAATGTCTTGTTTTCAAGTGCGATGAAGCCTCTGCGGAGACAACAGGATAAATCGGAAAATAAAACCTCAAAGCATGACCAGTCTCTCAAATGCAGAGTTTGATTAAATGGGCTCTCTCTAATGGAATACATAACTGGGGCGGCTCTTTTCCTGCAATCCCACTTTTACTAAAACCAGATGTTGTTTTGTTTGAGAAAAAGACATTTTTTTTAAAGACTCACATCTTTTAATGTCAGATCAGAAATATATACCACACATTAATAACCAAACAAATCTAAGTGGTCCTTATGGGGAAACTTAACATTTTCTATTCCCAAAATGCTTCCTTGCTGTTGGATTAAGCAGAACAGATGAAAATGTGCATGCCTAATACTTCAGTTTAAATACAACTTTGGATTGTGGTTCATTTTGTAGCAACAGCAAGATTATAATTACTGCCCAAATGAGTCCAGACATTTACTGGATCCCACCGTGAGTAAAGACAATGAGGTGTGACATTTCACCAATTCCTACGTGTCACACCAACTCACTGACAGCACGCTTAAGGGCTTAAGAGAGATGGGCTGCTGTGCTGAGCGACTTAAATAAATATAAACATTGGAGTGGCAAATAGCACTTAAAGGGCAGTGTAGTGATGCTGCTTGAATGCAAAATGATGCCTGAGATTCTTACCGAAGGCCTGAGCAGGCACTGAGGGTAACGTCAGAGCTGGGATGCGTCTGCACTTCCCCGTGGTAGTAGCAGTGATTCTAAAAGAGAGGTTTTTTTGTTACATGTTAGAAATAAGAAACACTTTTAAAGAAACAAAGTGTGATATAAAATGTGTCATGCTAAAAAAAGCAGAAGAAGAAAGCAGCTTGTCACATTCCTCTCGCTGTACTGACGCTCTTACCTGACTTCAAAAGAGCAATACAGTACAAAAGACACTGGGACTATGCTGATGCTGTCCCAACTCGTGTTCATTTAAATTAGCATGCTCTGAAGAAATCTGTCTACACTCCCTCTCTATAAAAACAGGCCATTTAAAATTAATGCAACTTATAAAGTTGAAGAGAAAGCAGAAAAAATTGGCACGCATGGGAGGTGACAGTAACATGGTAATTGTTCGCCTTTCGTTAATCCATCAGACTGCTCTAGTGGAAGGAAATGGGGACATTTAAGGCTCCTCAGAAACAGTGAAAACGCTGTTGTCTAACCACAAGGAGAACAGAGGAAATGACTCTCATTAAGAGGGAATACAGACCTCCATTTACTGTCTGGTAGCACTCAAGCCCTTTTAAATCAACTGTCATTCCCCACTACACTGACCATTTCTCATTCCCTGTACTGAACTCCAGTAGGAAGAAATCTGGGATGGGATTTTTACAAAAAGATGAAGTGAAGAAACTCCCATTTAACAAGTTCACTACAAGGTAATGAACTGGTAATGGATTTGAGAATCATTAGATTAAGGATAAAAATAGAACAGCTATAAAGGCTCTGTGCTCAGGCTGTGTTTGACCTAGCAAGGTTCACCTTTTACAAAGGATAACATCAGGTACAGTCAGTGACTGTCTCTGTCTCTGACGTTTTTACAGCAGCTAAATGTTGAGTGACTAAATACTCAAATGAAAATACAGAACAGATAATACGTCATATGAAAAACAAAGTTTTCACCTTAAGCTTTAATTTGTATCATATTTCATATATCCAGGATTTTTTTGGCAACTTATTCCTTAAAACTGTATTATGTCATTTATTTAAGTTTTTGGGGAAAACAATGACACTGATGATGTAGATATCTAAAAACTGATGCATTAAATATAATACGCTGGGCATTAAGAGGTTAAAAACATGGAATAGCATCCTTTGGACACCTGAAACCAAAGTGGAGATGTTTTCTTACGGTGTTTGGTGAAAACCAAACACGGCGTATCAACACAAACACCCCATAGCAGCTGGCAAACAATGGTGGATGGGTGATGATTTGAGCTTTTTCTTTCCAGCCACATGACCTGTGCGCTTTGCAGTCGCTGAGTTTAGCATGAATTCCTCTGTATACCAAAGTGTTCTAGAGTTAAACGTGAGGCCATTTGTCTGACAGCTAAAGCTTTGAAAGTGGGTCATGCAACAGGGCAGTGATCCCAAGCAGTGCAGCAAAGCTACAACAGAATGTCTGAAAAAGAAAAGAATCAATGCGTTGCAATGGTCAATGTGCAGACCTCAACCGGACCTGAAATGCTGGGGCAGGACCTTAAGTGTGCTGTGCATAAACCAATACCCACGAACCTCAATGAACTGAAGCAAGACTGTAAAGAAGAGCTATTGCTGGTTCTACAAGCCTTTGAATCATTGGTGTACTTATTTATTCACAGTGCTACATAAATCCCTGTGAAAACTTTCTTTTTCACATGACTGTAAATCACAGTCAACCTCTTGGTATCTAAGTTATTCATTTCCTTAAAGTTGTTAGCTGACATGCACTGCATTGTTCCAAATTGAGTTAGGTATTCTAACCAAAGACAGACAAGAACTGAATAATGTTTTGTTAAGCAGCATGAAATAATGACCCACTGCTAAGCTGCTTAAGGAGTCAATTTACATCCTAAATTAGAGGTCAGATCAGGTTTAGGTGTGGGCTTGCATGCTAGAAGAGTAGCAAATGTTTTTAAATCATTTGCATATGAAAAATATATAGAAATGCAGGTTCAGTACAGCACATTCATTGCCACTGAATCGGGTAACACTTGTTCAGCAGGTACTGAAGGTCTCCAGTCTGTTAGAATTCTTCTTACATCCACCAATGAAGGATTAAATGATAAAAATTTAAACTGTGGGGAAAGTGGCTAAAAAGTGTCCCCAGTGTCCACGATCTAACTAGGCAGCAAAAAGGGCAAGAGGCTGTGAACTATGTTAAAAACAAAATAAAACAGCTTTTTTATAAAGGATCAGTTGTGCTATTTTTTTTCCTGAGCCACATAAACTGATTTCAACCATCCATGTGTCACACTAAAAAGCCTTGAGAAGTACTTTCTCTGTTTCCAAAGACTAGCGAGCACTTCGCCTCGCACAGCTAGCATGAACACAGCATAAAACAAGCAGTCAAGAATAAACCTTCTGCTAAAAGGGAATTCCATAATAAAATCCTGATGGCAATGTTGGCTGAAAAACTACCAGCATGAAACACAGCTTATCATCAAGTAGGCCACGGGATAGAGTGTGTTCACCAACAGTGGGAGGCTTTCAAATACAAACTCGACCACATGGAAGCAATTAAAAAAAAAAAAAAAAAACGACAACAAAACTCATTTCTGTCCTAGATTTGATTTTAAATGAGTATAGCTGATTCTCTGGAAAAAGAAAAAACTCGTCTGTCTTTGTGAGTTTTTAAAGGGTCACTTTTTACAACGTGACTGTGCAGCATCGCTGAACATCAACTTGACCATAAATGTCAAAAGCACTCCAACGCTGCCCTACCGTGAAGTTGTGAGCACCGGTGACTGCACTTCCATCCTCCCGGTAATGTGTCTCGGTGTAATGGCTGGCAAAAAGACCCCTAAGAAGAGAACATGACAAGAGCATAAAAAACCCATTTATTTACTCATCGATTAGAAAAAAGAAGACTTTGTTTTCAGACTACCGAGAGGACTTGACCCTCAGTTGACTTTATATGTAGATTGCTTGTAAGGATTTGGGGGATGATGTGGATGAAACACTTAGCAGTCCGAGGCGGGGAGAGACTTGATTTTCTGTAAATTTATTATGTGATTCATAAGTGTCCTTGAATCCCCTGGCATTCAGCATGAACAAGTTGAACCAAATGCTGATGTCATTTCTCAGCATGCGTGAGTGTGTATCTGTGCATATCTTTTCAACTGTGTGTCACTTGTGTGTGTGTGTGTGTGTGTGTGTGAGAGAGAGAGAGTGGGTGTGCTTTCCTCTATAGGCCATGAACAGATGGACATGGAGAGACCCACCCTGAGCATTGGCAAAGGAGCAGCAGGAACACCCATTTTTTGCAGCTGTATACTCAGATTGACATCAGGCAGGATGATCTCAGGATGTGTGTGTGTTAGAGTGCATTAGAAGAAGAGAGGGAGGTGGAAATACCCAGAAAACAAACAATACGTTTTGCAAGTCTGACGTGTATTATCCTAAAGGTGATTATATGGCAAAAAAGTAACAGAGGAGACTTAAAAACTAGATCACACACATACCCCACAGTGCTGTGCCAGCTCACGCAAATCGCATGTACCACAAACCAGAATTAGATGAGACGAGTGGCAACGGTGAGGCATTAAGCCAATAGTGGGTTTTTTTCTTCCGTTCTTCAGGTCCATTTAATGTCTTATCTGGATATTTACAGTTAATTATTTTATCACCCGTTTATAGGAAGATCAATCCTCTGTGCCCCGAGCCTGACCACATTTAAACTTCATTAAATACTTATTATCGCTTTAATGTGCCTTATCACGCCATTAGCAAGCTCTAAACCAAATCTGATAAGCCGAGCGGCCAGTAATCACTTTGAAGAGCCCGGTACGTCTCATAAAAATTTGATGACACATCCGAGGATGCTGCATGCTTCTCGGAAAAGCCCAAAATATGTATCTTAATAGTGAACGTTTAACAGTGGCGCTCGGAAACAGCCACAGCACAATTATAGGAAACGAAACGGCTCAGTTTGCCGTAAAGATGGGATTTGTGTCACGTGAGCGGTAATTCCAAGCAAATGCTCTCGTGCTGTATTTTTTTGGGACATGTTGGGAAAGCCAGCTTAGGGGCAGTGTGGCCGCCGGGACTGAGACACACGCTGTGGAAAAGCTGCAGGATTTACATGATGGAATCTCCCTGTAATCAACTTGTTGGCAAGAGTACACAGAGTTTATGAGGCCATGAATGTTTACTGTGCGTTTGCAGAGAATTTCCTCACTGGTTATCTTGCAGCTCAGTTGGTGCGTATCTGTGTATCTTATACTGCTGAAGACCGTTTCATGCTTCTGATTCTCACTGTCGCAGCGCTCTAATGTTGTGTCGTGTATCTGACCCAGTACGCAGAATACTCATGTTTGTAACTAAAACACAGCTACCTAAGGAAGAAAGTGTACACTTCCATATAATTAAGCAATTTTTACTGGCGCCAACAGCCCACCTCTGTCGTCAATCAATTTTCCATGATTATGCTGCAAAAGACAAAGTGTTGACATTTTTGAATCATGTGGAAAATAAATACATCTTTTACTTGTCCTTATTCCACATGAGAAAAATGACGGCATACTGTGAGGATTGATAATTTATTCCGTAGCTGTTACTGATGAATAAGTTGCAGGATGTTTTATGCTCTGCGGGATGACTCTGTGTCTACACCACTATATTACACCTCCACAAAGAAAAACACATTTTCTTTTTCATTTTCATTCCTGTAATTGTTTAAGTCAATAACCACAGATTCTGTGGTCCTAACTGTGTGTTGCGATTCATTAGACACAGTGTAGTATCTAATTAACAGCCCACTAATGGCCGCCCAGGTTAATTGTGATAAATGACGGGCTGTTTAACAGCACCCCTGGGAGGCAGAAAATAATATTTGTCTTAAAGAATAATCTCCCATCTTACATGCGCCTCCTTAGATTTAATTTAACTTTTCTGAAATAACTGCATGAATTATTGATTGTCTCTAAAAAGCCAGATGAATAGCTTTCCACAGCTGCCTTTTGAGGCTAGAGTGCTGCTCATGCGTGTGATGTTTAAATATAATTAGGAGCATGATTCACTATTTGGAAAGGACCTTCCAGTAAATCTAAATCAAGACTCCCACATATGTTTGCAAGAACGCTCATTGTGTTGCTGAAATAGCCGATCTGGCCTTCGAAATCTGACGTCCCGCGACGTCTCTGATGAACATACAGCACTTTTGTGTTTCCATTCCATCTGCTGGCACAAGTGGAACGCTACACTATATCTTACACAACAACTGAGGCTGGCAGAGATAGGACTAGCACAATGCAGGGACAATACAGACAAGGACAGCATAAAAACTCATTACGGCAGACCACAGAGGACCCTTCTTCATTTTAGAGGCATAAAACAAACTGGCAGATGTTATTTTCTGCCATATCTGAAATTACAGGAGATAGAACTATTGTTGTCTCTGAATTGAGCAAGTATTTTGATGAGTTTTATTTAAAAAGAACAAATCAAATCAAACAGACAAAGAGTCGCTACAACGGTGTGATCGATGAACCGGAAACTAAATGCATCACTCGCTGTTTACACAGATCGATGTTTATAATAACATCTTTCGCTCTTGATCCAGCCAGTACGACGTTCTGTGCAAGTGCAGAAACTCATTTACATACATGTGACTGTGTCTCATGTAATAATTCACCATTACACAAATCCCCTTGAGCATGGAACCATTTGAGAGCAATGTAGCTCCTCTTGCAGCCTCTCTACTTCCTTTGAAGAGTGCTAACTTCAGTGATTTCTTTTAATCCCCTCTCCCCCACAAGCCTAACCCCTAAGCCTTCCTATAGCTGCTACTTATGGTAGCATATGCTAAACTCCAAAAAGAGCAGACTACTACAGAAGCAGAGGCAGATGAAGACGAGAGAGGAACTAAAGAGGTGTGGCTGACAAGTCTAATTCTATTTCCACATACGGCTGCGTTCCAAATTGATTTACATACAGCTCAGTGTGCCTTCAGCTAAGGCTTGGCCGTGGCTGTGGCTGTGAGTGCACCGGAGTGTACAAGCAGCAAAACCAGAGAAAACTAGGGAGAGACAGTGGTGAGGGTGGGAGGAGTGAGGGAAGCAAACAAACAAAAAAATTCCCTGAACTACATAATTAAAGAAAAGCCTTCCTTTAATCTTCTTTACTGGCTTCATAAAAGAGTCATCGTGTCCATTTCTGCATTACTTTCATCTTTGTTGTCTCACTGAAATTTAAGGTGTCGGGTCAAAATGTAGGTGAGGATATCATTAACGTTGGGGGGTACGGAGAAATTTAAAATGACATCTGATGATAGCATCTGATGATTCGGAAAAATGCCAAACTTATTACATATTCAACTTTGGGGAAGAGGACTGTCTGTTCAGAAATTGATGCGAGCCATGTAATAGCTGTTGAGACATTTCGCACTGAAATAAAAATGACCTAAGATAATGTGTGGGCAACATTTGTGCAGCATTTTAGAGCTGTGTAATAATCTTAGTTTGTGTGTTTCCAGTGTTATTGTGATAATGTTTGCTAACTTTACAGGTGCTGCTACTGTAGGTCAAATATTTTCTTCTTTAATTGCAGATCACAATGGAAGCTAATCTAATGAACTGGTACTTATATAGTGTATTTCTAGCACTTTCTTACTTCATGCCTCATTCATCCATTCACACACACATTCATAAAAGTGCTTTTTCCTAACCTAACATTCACACACTCACACCCTGATGGGGTTCAGTATCTTGTCCTTTCCTTGGAAGAGCCAGGGATTGAAGCACCAACCTTCCGATTAGCAGATGACTAAATCAAACAGACAAAGACTCTAAATCCTGAGTCCGAGTCACCCCAATCTAATCTAATTTATAAGGATTCATCACCAGGGAAAAATAAATATCCGTGCCAAACTTTGTGCCAATTCAACAAGCAGCTGTTAGGATATTTTGATGCCAAGAGGTCATTTATATGGATCAATATCCATACAGACTTTCATGACAAACTACCTTATATTTCTTAAAGTTATTAAACTAAAAAGATCCAACCAGCATACGTTGAGACTCTTACCAGCCGGGCAAAGGATTGAGTCTCATAGTAACACTTACAGTACCACCATAAGCGAAACTAAAGAGTCACATTCATGGATGAGCAGACTAAGATTTTCCATTATATATGCTCCAGCAGGCACTGGATGAATATCAAACATGCTGGCTGATGGGGCAGGCCTATTTAAATATTGACTGACCAAAGCAAAGATAGCTCCTTAATGAGTCAAGATCTCTCTTTGCTTAGGAAGAAGTCACAGAGGGAGCAGCTGCTTGACTATTAAAAAAATCCTGCAGCGAGTCCTCAGAGGTCTGCATGATGACACTTTTTCCTAAAGTGCCCCTGCACATACAAATGATTAAATCTCCGAGTGGCCGTGTCCACAACTTACAAGCAAAGTTGATTTTTCATATCTGAATACTCTTTCATCCTTCTCCGTTGCCAAGATGGTTCAGACAGCCCTGCCTGTCTGTCTGTGTCCCTCACCTCAGGCTTCATGGCATTGTGTGCTCAAAGTGGCGCCTAAGGCAACTGAAGTCATCACATCAGTAAAGTAAACCGCAGAGGGAAAAACATTATTCCCTGTGCTTGAAAGCAGAGGAGGGTGATGAATCATGGCAGGGGCACAGTTAGTAAAGGTTGCCACTCTTGCTCTCACACGCTCTAAAAATAACAGAAATCACAGGTAAAAAAACAGAAATATCTCATAATAAACTCTAAGAAACTTTTTCCTGAACATGACACTTCAATTGCCATACAGTTTCTTTCCCGACTGTTTGAGTTGTTACCCGAGAAAAC